TGAAGTACAAGGGACATCCAGTACTGGCGAGAAGACTGTATCACCTCATCGGTTGCAATCTATCTCATATCACAATGCAACGCGAGAAAGAAGAGGCACTGGCGAGCATCAGATTGGCAGAATCACGAACTGGAGATATACAGATTCGGATCTACGACTCTCTGAATTGCATACAATGACCCGTGGACGTGAGCATGGGGACCTGCTCATGGCGCGTGATTCAAAGCTCAAAGCAGCGGTTAATGCGTTGAAGTACTTTATATCAGTAGAGGTCTTTCTTTGCCCGTGGTGAGAACACCTCCATCTCGTTGATCGGAATGCTTAAGACCGTAGTGGACGTTAGATGACGCTTTGCTTCACGCGGAAAGGATGCAAAGGAAACTTTGAGATCAAACAAGATAAACAGGGCAATCCAAGTTCAATGCGCTCGGATCAAAGGGCCATGGCAGTACAGCAATCCATAAGGAAGTGCAGCATCTCCAACAAAGTCCCCAAGACGAATGGAAGCCACCAAACTTACCTTAGATCCCCAATGACGGAACCACTCCGCCTGACACTTTCAAAAAAAAAAGAACCCCACCATCTAATCAATCTAATCGCCGACCCAAGCCACGCCGCCCACCACAGGAAACCCACCGCAGAACCAAGCACCTCTGATTTTCGACAATCTCCCAACCCAAAGCTGCCACCCCCCGGAACCCGATCGTCACTCTTTCCCGAAAACCACTAGATACCCTCACAATCACATACAAGATGGCAAACCAAATAACAGAGGCCTCGCTAAAGCAGGCCCTCACCGAGCGTCTGCAGGCAATTCACGTCGAGATCTCGGATATGTCAGGTACGTCTTCGCTCGTCGCCAGCATGCACTCCTTCAACCGAAAACCCCCCCACGTCATGCCCCGCCATGTTAGAAATCAATGTACTCGCCCGCGCATCGTCTGTCGCGCCCAGCACACCTCACCGACCCATGCGAAACCACCATTATGCGACATTCTGGGCTTCCTCCTAACTAAAACATTCTATCAAACAGGCGGCTGCGGACAAGCCTTCACCTCGACAATCGTCTCCCCCGCCTTCGAGAAACAAACCTCCTTGAAGCGCCACCGCCTCGTCAACGCCGCCCTCAAGGACGAGATCGCCCAGATCCACGCCTGGAGCGCAAAGTGCCAGACGCCCGCCGAGTGGGAGCGCGATAGAGCCGCCGCCGGCGGAGGCAGCGACGGCCCGCCGATGGACGGGACTGTCGGCGGCAGGGTGGAGGGTGTTGCGCAGTGAAGAAACAGGGAAAATGGGACAAGACACATCGCACCGGAATTGGAGCTGGACTGGACTGGCCGCCCCGGTTGGAGAGAGGGGAGCATTATGCATCATCGGTTGTCACTTCGCGCCGAACACGGAGATGACTGGGCCGCTTGGGGCGACATGGACATATACACAGGGCGATACGTCCCTATACAAGGCGGGAAAAGAGACGCCACGCATGAGATCCAAAAAGAAGAACATGGAGGCATCTTGGGAGGATGGCGCGATAGGTGTTTGGTCTAGACACCCCCCTTTTCGAGTATATACATGAGTTTTTCGCGGAAAGCAGAAAAGCAGAAGCAGGCTTTTCGTGGCTTCGTTCTTTGTCATTTATCAACCTACTCCTAACAGCATGCCTGGACTCCCCAATGAACCAGCTCCATTAGCAAGAGATCTAGAACAACCCAAGCAAGTCCTCATTCGTCTTCTTCCCGTTTCCTTCGCCACCTTGAGGTTGTGCAGGCTGGTGTAATTGCATGCCCGCCGGCAAGGGCTGCCCGGACCCTGTGTTGCCAAAGTCGAGCCCAGCGAAGCCGTTCATCATGTCATTCATGCCGCCACCACCTGCTCCAGGGCTCATCGGGTTGGCCGCCTGCTGTTGCTGCGGCGGAGGAGCATCAAACAAACCCATCATGTCAGCCATGGCACTCGAGTTACCACCTCCCGCAGGGCTGGCCACTCTGTCTGGGGTGTTGATGTTGCTCTGCTGCTCGGCTGATGCAGGGGCAGCACCGTCAAAGTCGATATCGAGAAGGTTTTCGATGTTGTTTTGTGAGTTGGCGTTGCCGTTGGCCACAGCTGCCACTGACGCAGCAATGGGGTTTTCGGCCGCCTCTTGCCGTTGTTCGCGGATGGCCGCGCGCTGAATCTCGTCTGCTCCATAGCGACCCTTGCCGACAAATGATTCTGGTGGCTTGTGGTACACCGACGCCAGAGTAGAAAGCTCTGCGAGAAGTTGCTCGAGGAGAGCAGGGGGAAGGCTGGTCATTGTTGTGGTAATGGCGGGTTTCTGAGACAGGACAATATTCTTGGCGACATCCAAATCGCCTGACAATAGACGCCAGTAGACGTAAGCTCTGTCTCTGATATCTGGGTTGTCGTTGTCTGTCGTAGCCTGCTGAAGCACCTTTTGGACCAGTCCCTGGTTGCTGCCGGGCTTCTTGAGGAAGAGCTTGACCACAGCAGTGAGGATTTGGAGTTGAGTCTGCTGAAAGTTAGCGGTTTCCTTGAATATCTGGAATGAATCGACAAACCTGTGTGAACTCCTCCATGAAACCCTCCACGAAACTTTCCAGAATGTCGTCGGCGTTGTTGATCTTCTCAGCGTACTCTCCCACAATCCAAATCAGCGATCCTCTTGCCGTTGGCTCGTCCAGCTCGTCGATATACTTGCAGAGCGTGGGGATGACGCCCTCGTAACCAGGGTATTTGCGGAGAATATCCTTGATAACCACCACAACCTCCTGCACAACGTAGTTGACCTTGGTGGCAATCAAGTCCAACAAAGCGTTGACGCACTTTTGACTGGCACTCTCGAGCTTGATCGCAACCTGGCCAATGGCCTTGACGGCGCGCTTGACAAAGTCCATATCGACCTCCAAAGCGTACTCTTTCAATTCTGCGAGGAGTTGGTCAAAGTTCTTCTCGTTGGCTATCCGAACCATGATCTCGAGCTTCTGAAGTTTGACGTAGGGGGGATCGTTATATTTGCAGAAGAAGACTCGCAGCTCTTTGCTAAGAATATCGGGCTTGGCCTGCAGGAGGAGGTCAATATTGCGCAGAGCAACATACTGCACCTCAGGAGCAGACGCCACAAGCGTGACAAGAGGCGGCGCCATCTTCTTTAGGTATGATCGCACAAGCTCCGGGCTAACTGCCTTCATGTGGATAAAGACCACCTTCACGGCGGCCAAGACCACACTGGGGTTGACGTGTTGGAACTGTGGCGCAACTCTTTCACAAATGTGCTCAGACTCCTTGGTATCCGCAGCAGGATAGTCGGCCAGTGTGGTCAGGATAGTGACGCGACCCCATTCCGTGCACTCGTTGAGAGCCATCAACAGCTTCTTCAGTGTGGCCGGTGTCACTACAAGTGCTCGAGTCTCTGGTGCGGTTTCGGTGATCTCTGAAAGCGCCTGGACCGAGTTTGCGACAACCATAGGATTCGGGTCCCCAATCAACTCCTGCAGTGACTCCAAAAAGCCGTTCTCTATGCACATTGATGGGTTGAGGTCGAAGAGTTTGGCGACACAAATCGCGGCCGTCTTTCGAACGTATGGTGACTCGTCTCGTAGTGTCTTCCGCAGCGGCTCTTCCATGTAATCCACCATCTTGTCGACTCTAATACAGCCCATCGTTCGGATCGCTAGCGCACGGATGAGGGGATTTGGGTCTTCGGAATCTTGTACGAAAGTATTAACGGCAAGAATACAGAGATCTGGATGCGATTTCGCGTAGTTCCTGTTGTATGCTGTCAGTAGTCGCGCTAGATGCCTCGCCTAGGCAGCGGATCGGTTTCGACTGCGGACTAACATCAAGTATAAGTAAACCAGCTTCTTCTGGTCCAGGTCGCCTGTCGCAATGTTCTTCAGGACATCGGGGAACAAAGCAGACACGTCCTTGCCCAACGTCATCGCCATAATCGTCTTCTGGATGGATTCCTTGCGCTCGTAGGCATATTGAGAGACAAGGCCTGCCCGCAGCTCAAAGGTCTCTCCCTTCCTCGGGACAGCAAAGGCCCCACGAATCCGATTGACCGCCATGGTGTCGGGAGGTGCTCGAGGTAGGGGGTATGGTGATTTAGGGTGTGTTGTCGGAGGGGGCTAAAGGCGATCTGGCAGATGAGAGAGATAGCCAGTCCGATCAGGACCTGGACAAGCTCATCCAAAGGTAAAGTCTCGGTATTCAACAGCAGTCCGCTTGCTTTTGCTCGTCGTAGGTGTCCGGGGGATGCAGTGAATGCACCTCGTCGGTAGTCGCCAAGAGGATGAGGTGGTCGAAGAAGTACCTGGCAGTGGAATGCACCCCTAACCTTAATCCCAGCCTGGCCAGCCTGGCAGCAGTGCTGGGCGCACTGCTCCGATTCGCTAAATGAATGTCGCTCCTTCTCCTTGGCGACTCCACAGCGATGCACATGCAACTATCGGGCCTGTTGTTTTATCGGAAACTCTTTTACAGAGGTACAAGGTACCAAGCTCTAAGGCAAGTAAACATTGATGAGCTTATTGCAACATCGCCATTTCCATCTGCTGCCCTTGACCTCACTTTTTATTATACTTCTCCGGCTCCTCTACGTCATTACGGAGCTTTTATTCCTTTCAGCAAACAAAAGTTGCTAAGAGATTCGGCTCAGGCCCACGATCTGAAACACTGCCAATAATACCAACCACTAAATAAATCACCATGGTAAGCCATTTCCGTTCATCTAGTGAATGAAGGCATCTGACAAGTCTCTTTAAGGCCACATTGCCCAACCTGCGTCGTTTGTTCATCGAGGCAAGAACGGATGATGAAGAGCGGGAAGTGTCTAGGAAAGCAGTGAGTCGGTGTCAAACAGCTCCATGGTGTCCCTAAACTTACCAGTCATGCAGTTTTATAACGCAGTCCTCTTCATGAGCTCTGTGACTATCTTCAGCTTGATTGCTCAGAGGATGAATGCCGTGAAATGAATCAACACAGTCAACCAATAGTGTTCGTTAGGTTGAACCACAGATGTCGAGCTTCTCGATGAATGCCCGCCGCGTTGGGTATCCAGAGGTTCGCAAAGCCTGCTTCAGGGCTCTGCGGTCCAAGATGATGCGCCCCGCAACAACGCCATCCGCAACAGAGTCATAGGCAGGCGAAGAAATTAGTCGTGCGAGACACATCCCGCAGCATGACAGGGAATTCGCGCTTGCAAGGACGAAGTTGAACATATGCGGGCGACCTCTTCCCCCGGCAACTGGGAGAGTGGTGCTCGTTGAGGACAGGGTCAGGCCCTGGTACCGCCGATTCACGACTTACTGAGACTCATAGCCGTTGCTGCAACGAGTATACGAGCATGATATCAGATTAATGAGTCACCTGGAGGCACAAAGAAGATGTGGAAGATGTGCAAGTACTACTATAGTCGTAGGCAATGCGATACGAAAAAGCACCGCGCCAGGCTCCTTGACACAGGCCCTGATATCAATGAACATTGTTTGATCCTTTGCTTTGCAGGCGACGGCTGCTGATGCTACCCCTGGCCAATGCGGAGACCTCCGTCTCCACGTCCGTCTCAAATCGTAACTACTGTACGCCATCATAAGTTATTCTCTTTGAGTGCCTCCCCAACAGACGCGAATATTCCTCTTGAGTTATTCCAAATCCTCACCAACGGCCCCTCAATCCCGTATAAGGGATCATTGGGCGGTACGGGAACAGCGGAAACCTCTTCTAACAGCCCGCTCTTCTCCTCCAACTTCTTCTTGCCGATTTCGTATTTATAATGAGGTGAACCTTTGGGATACACTCCAACATATCGATACTCAGGCTCTCCCTCAACAGGATCCGCTGCTCCCTCCGCCTTTGAGACAGAGGCATGCCCTACGCCTGCTGGGACGACGACGACATCGCCGGCTCGCACTATACATCGTACTCCGCTGCCGACGTCATCCGAGACCCCTTCGCCAAAGACTAGCTCGGAGCTGCCTTGAAAGACGCCTGCTTCATGGGTTAATGGAGTTGAATGATTCAAGGGGATCGATGGACCTGCCGTAACACTCGTGAGTGTTTGGGTGAAAGTGCTTCAGACTGATAGTCCCCCAAGTTCCCTATAGGTAAAAGTCTCTTTAATAACGACGTCAAATGAATATACGGAGACTTAGTAAGCCAGAATTCTTACCTTCTTCTCCCAGCCGTGACGCTGAAGTCTTTCTGATGCGCTCTCCTCGTTAAGTGGCTGGAGAACATCACGATATATGAGGACTGGAAGATCATTATTCGGACAATGAGCAGTCCTCTTCAACGGGTACGCCTCGGGCTGCGCGACCTTCTCATATGAAGACATTATTTCACCGGCCCATGCGGGATGGACTCGAGAAGACTCGTTTATGATTCGATGTGTTACAGAGTTCTCACGCCCGAGTATGGCCACGAGCTATTGGGTATTTTGAAAAATAATGTTTGTGGTGTGTTTGTTCATATTAACTTCCTGTCGCTGTCAACAACACCTACTCCTCTAACCCCGGATTCTCTGGTCATTTGACAGTGCCAAGCAGCCAGAAAGGCAAAGAGGCAAGCTGCTGGAGTTATCTCCGAACGTCACCAGGAGAAGACATCGGCTCCGAGGACCCCTCCATATCGTGCATTCCTGCCGATCCCATGGCCACTGAAGCACAACGATGTCCTTAACTCTGTCATAACATCAACGCAAGCTTACAGATCAACACCTCGACTGATTATCCAGTATTACTCTTCAAATTCGTCCAAAACATCGCCCTGCCCTTCCTTCGTCGGCGCCTTCGCCTCCTGCTTCCTCCACAAACCAGCAAGAAACTCATTCGTACTCGCCTCGTCCATGCTCTTATCCTCGCGCTTCTTCAAAAATCGAGGGAATCGCAGGCTCAACCCTCGTTCGTCGCTGACGAGCCCAATGGCGGCCGTGTACGTCGGACTCAGAGTGATGTCCGCAAACGCCATCTCCCACACCTCCTGAGGCTCGAACCACACGTCAGGCTCGGGACCAGAGTACTCGACAAACGCGGGCTTCTGGGTGCGCGTGTTCTGCCTCTCGCTTAGCTCGCCGTCGTCGTAGTGTTCCCTGTTCGCCTTATAGAAGGCGTCTGTAAAGCCCGACATGCACTTGCACACGACCTCGAGAGCGCCGCTGTCGTCGTTGCGGACGGCCATGAGGATTGGCGACCACCATTTGGACTTCCGGCCTTGTCCGTGCCAAGCGGCTACCGGAATCATGTCCAACGTCTCAAAGCTTGAGTTGTAGTCCTTCTTGACCTTTAGCCACGAGTCTAGTCGCTTATCGGGCTCGTATGTGGCCAAGAGAGGCTTGCGTCTGCCCTTCTTCTTCGGAGCACCCTCCTCGCCCTTGGTGCCTTTGCTTCGTGATTTTGACTTTGAAGGCGTTCTGGGTTCCTCGGCAACCTCGCCATCGGCATCTACTGCGCCGTCACCATGGTAGGGGACATCTGTCAAGTTGTCCAAGATTTTGACCATAATGCCTTCACACTTGATATCGGTTGCCGCCTTAAAAAACTCCAATACGGCATCCGAGTCTTGCGAGGTAGCATCCAGACTCTTCACCCAGGTGAATTGGCGGGGAACTTCGATAAACATCGATCGCAGGAGCTCCCTTCTTTCTCGAAAGGGCCGGTTCAGTAGGGGTTGTCCGTTGAGAAACATGAGGTCAAATGCGAACATGCAAACGTTGACTTGCACGCTGCCGATAGCGACATCCTTCCGCGCGCGATTGCTCAGCGTCTGGAAGTTCTTCAAATCTCCCGTCTCGCTGTCCACGGCCACCACTTCGCCTTCCACAATAAAGCTGTTGACGCCTTCGCCGCGAACCTTGGGCATCAATGCGACTAAGTCGGGGTACTTGTCCGTCATCAGCTCGAGGTGTCTTGAGAAGATGGAAATTTTGCCGCTTTCATCGCAGTGAATCTGAGCTCTTTGGCCGTCATACTTGAATTCGCAAGCAAAGTCTCTGCCCTGGAGTTTCGTGAGCATCTCGGAAAGGTCTCTCGTGATGCTTCCCAACATGGGCCGGAGTGGTATGTGCAGCGTTAAATCACAACGAAGTAACAGCTCGTCGCAGACGCCAATTTCCAATAAGACGGGTACAAGATCGTTGTAGTTGGGGCGCCGCGCGAAGCAGGCCTTTAGTATTTCCTCTGGCCTGCTCCATACTTCAGCGAGCTCTTCCTTCTTTAGTTTTTGGAGGTCCTTGACTGATCGTAGTGGGAACTCAGCTCCCGGAGGTCTAGAAAGGAGGAAGGCTCTTGAAAGAGCAATCAACATGGTGGTTTTGACAGCACCAATACGTAGCTACCGACGTTAGACATTTGATAAAAAGGCTGTTACAAAATCAAAACCTACATGTTGACACAATGTTCGTACAATGAACCTGCTCTCTTCACCACCGCGGGCATCTTGTAGAAGTCGATCGACAATTCTCTGCTTTGCTTCGCCGCTTCCGTTACCTTGGCTATTGGCAATTTTGACTAGTGATTGGTAGACAGCCTTGATGGTCAAGGGCTTCGGTTTCCGCAGAGTAAAGCTTTGCTTCTTCTTGGCCTCGAATGCAACGTCCCCGGCATCACCGTGCTTGTCGTAAAGTGTCTTTAGGGAGCGACCGTCTAATCCACACACCTGCTTTAGTGCCTTGGAAATCGCTGACCCTCCCAAACCGAGCTCTAAGGAGATGTAAGGGGGCGAGATGGAATTTGTTGCAAGCCAGACCGCGGGCAGTAGGCTCTCCGGATCAGCTTCAATCAGTACTCTGATACAGTTGACTAGAGTATCCACAATCTTAATCCGACTTTGTGTAGCGGATACCAAGATGAAGCATCGGGTGAGGAATGCGTATGAAGCGTGCCCTCCCTCAGCTGCCCATGATTCCTTCAGCCGAGGGACATATTCCGAAGGATCAAATATCAGTGGGCTTTGGTCCAGAGGAATGGTTGCTGAAACCGTGTCTTCAGCATTTGCCACGGAAGATAGTGACAGCGTCTTCGTCTTTGGCGTAACAATTGGCAGAACCGAGGATGTCGGCGACCCTTTCAGTCCAGACTTTGCCTCGATAGGTTCCTCTCCATTAGTCTCATTCAACCGTAAACTTGGGTCATTTGCTGGCTCAGGACATGGCGTAGATTCTGCTCTTTCATTCTGCACCTCGGCATCCCATTCCGCTTGCAGCTTCCTGGCAAGCTCCTCATCCGTCAACTCCGGCTGCTGGTCGGCGGATCCCGTGCCATTCGATATGGCTTCAGGAGCAGGTTCCGTTGTGGGTTTCAGTGACGATGTGCCGTTCTGCTTCTGCTTAGAGAAGAAGTATTCCAAACCTCTCGAAGGTACTCCGGTTGACGACTGATCGTTCAGTTTCCTCTTCTTACTTGGGCTGGGCATGGTGATGATGATGTTCAATGCAGGAACTTAGTGCGTGGAAAGCTTCGGATGATGATTCTAGTGAGAACAGATGCAAATGAAACTTCGTGTTATCATCACGAACTGCCCAGTGGAATTTTACTTCCTTCTCTTTCCATCTGCTCAATGTTGTTAGTTCATCACTGAGCTGTCCGCTGAGGTACCTTAGCTCAACCCTGTAACAGTCTCAGTCAATGACGCCGCTGCCTGCGAACCGAACAAGAGGGTACGTGCACCTTCCCAGCCACCCCTGTAGCTTGCTCCCTTAGTCAGCAGAACCCTTGGATCCATCGTCTTAGGTAAGGTGTCCCGGTCTACCTGCGGAGGAGAAACGGCCACACCTTTCCCCTTACTCCGGCGCTAAACCTCATTTGACGACCCAAGCGACTTCCACACAACAACACACTCGAACTTTTGGAAATCTTTCGCCAGGGCGGCCCAAGCCCCACCAGCGGCACCGATTTCTTCCTTCCCCTCCACGATACCTCTCCTAACCCGCCGAACCTCGAAAACCACCCTCTCACACCCCCCCACGCCGCACATAAAACCAGCAATCATGTTGAACGGCGAAGATCCGCCCGAGCGGCCCGACTACATTGTCAACATCATCAATGGCCTCGAGCGGTACAACCCTGAGGCTGTCGTCAACCTCGAGTCCTACCTGCAGGAGCAGTGCGAGCAGAAGTACTGCGATTGCAATGCGAACCGGACACTCCTGAAGCTGTGAGTCGCAATCTCCAACATGCCTACTCGACCACCACCACGCGTCTTTTTTGTACACGTCGGTGGCATCGGACCCCTTTGCTTGGTCTTGCGCCGGTTTATATGATGATCGTGTAAACGTTTCCTATTACCTGACATGCACTGGTTGTTCCGTCATGAACCCCTCAGTCGCAACTGAAGTCAGCACATGGTGTTAACTGAACGATACCGGAACTCAATATTGAGACACAATTTGGATGCGAGCCTACATCATCATGGAACTCGACAGCTGACCACTTTGTCTTCTCTCTCCTTCCAGGTACCAGCTCAACCCCGACCGTCTCAAGGATGAGGTCGTCACCAACATCCTCGTCAAGGCCATGACCCAGTTCCCCTCGCCGCAGTTCACCCTCGCCCTGCACCTCATCAACCCCTCCACCATCGCCCAGGGAGAGCTCCATGAGGCCGTCGCCAAGCTGCGCACCCTCAACAGCCAGCTCGAGGGCTCCCAGTACGCCCGCTTCTGGAACACCATTGACGGCGATGACCTCTGCGCCGACCTCATTGCCGACATCTCAGGCTTCGAGGACCTCATCCGCAGCAACATTGCCAACTCGATCGCCCAGGCCTTCCGCGAGGTCAGCCTGTCCCAGCTCGAGTCGTGGCTCGGCCTCGACGGCGACGCCACCGCAAAGTTCGTCACCGAGGTTGCCGGCTGGACCGTTGGCGACAATGGCGTCGTTACCATCCCCAAGAACGCCGAGAACGAGGCCAAGAAGTCTGAGATCAGGGAGGACGTCAACGTCGACATGTTCTCGAGGATTCTTCGCAGATCATGGGAGGAGACTGCGTAAAAGAAGTACTTTTTTGAAAAATAAGAAGAGAAATCGCAGACTTGGGCTTCGGTGTGAGGATGAACAGAAGAAGGGGACGCAAGGGTTGATATCACAACCCTTGGCTGCTAATAGCTCCGTACATGGAGTTAGGGCTGGAAGAGAGCATGGCGGCAAAAATTACCGGCGTTCACTTTTGACTTTGGAATCGGGGGCCATAGAGTATATCCCTGAATATGAGACATGCCACAATGTTTGAAATGTCGTGTAAAACGCTTCTTTTTCTTCTCATTATTTTGATGTGCTGCAAAATCTTTGTCCCTGCCTGTCCCCTTTTAAATCATCGTCGTGTAGCACATAACTTTCTCATCGCTTTGAAAGCTCCTCCCACTGAACACCACACCATTCCTCAAGATACCCTGCCTCACCAACCTCGACACCGCGCTGCTGACAATCCGCCTCGCAAACGCCGACAATGATGGTACCCCAGTCCATACCCTCAAGCGACAGCTCCTCCGCCTCGAGCTCGGTGATGGCATGCGGCGTCATCTGCACCTCAAACACGCGCCTGGCACCACAGTTTCCGCACCGCGTCATTCCACCACTGCCGGCAGCAGCGCCCAGCTTCGCGCCCACGGCGTCCGCCTTGGAGTACAGCAGCGGCGTGCCGTTGAACTCGTAGCGGATACACTGTTCCGGGTTCTGCTCCATGCGGTCCGCAAACTTTTGAAACGCCGCGTCCATGGACGACTCGAAGACGTCCTTCATGTCGCCTCCCCCACCAGCGCCGCTACCACCCTCGGTGTCCACCTCCATCCGCGCGTTCTGCGGCACGGGCATAGGTTCCGGGTCGAGCGTCTCGAACTCGGCGTCCGCGAGGTAGGAAATCGGGTACGGCTTAGGCAGGGCGTCGGCCGCGGGCCACGGCTCTGGCGGCGGGGGCGGTCCGGAAGGCGTTTGCGGGTTGTCGAGGTTCAGCGTCTCGGCAAAGGTTTTGGGGAGGGACTCGGCCGGGTCCTTGGCCTCCTCCTTCTTCTGCGTGGGCTCGTCAGCGGCGGCGGGGTTAGAAAACGGGTTCGACGGGGCGGCGGTGCCAAAGGGGCTGCTGCTTGAAGAGGCACTCGTGCTGAACGGGTTCGCGTTGCCTCCGAATGGGTTCGCTGCACCGGAACCGCCGCCAAAGAGGGCGGTTCCCAGTCCCGAGCTGACGTCTTTCTTCGGCTCTTCCTTCTCCTCCACCTTCTTCTGAGGCTTCGCTTCCGCCTTCTTTGCTGCCGCTGCTTGCGCTTCCTTGGATACCTTGACACCTCTCACAGCGCGGATGCTGCCCTGCTTGCGCCGGCAGGTGGATTTGCGGCAGGCGAAGACGTACAGGCGGCGCTCGTGGCCGGGGAACTTTTCGGGGAGCTCGCCGTTGAGTTGGAGAAGCTGGACCATGATCTCGTTGCACACTTGACAGCGCGCCAGGGCTGCTGAGGCTGGTTGTTCGGGGTTCAACCATTCCTACAAGTGAAAACAACCATGTGTCAGTCAATTTGGGGGGCTGTCATCTCTGTTTGTCGATGCGCGGCGGCAAAGGAGAACTTACTGGTTGACCACCAAGACGACTGATGGTGTCATCGTCGGCGTCTTTGCTGGCGTAACCGAGCAACACGTTGGTCTCGGTGAACTCCTGCTCTGAGGAATCACTGTCGTAATCTGCCATGGTTGTGTAAATCGGTATGGCCTGCCAGATTGACGGGTTGGGCTGGGTACGTGGGGTCAAGATTTTTTGGCTCTCGAAATATTTCGATGCGGGGCTTATCTTATCGCTCCTCACCTGCCCTCCTCCAGCGAGGGGTAGCAAACGATGAAGGCTGCCCCTGACTGACATGCCCCAACCACTTTGAATTAACACACTTCACGAAATGGAATGCAGGAATTGTCTTCATAGTTGGATATCATTCCGGCTCTCAGCTTTGACAGATCTAAGATCAACGCCTTTTGTCTACCGTGCCAACACTTTTAATATTGGAATCCATCAAACTCTTTACTCCTCAGGGCCGTCCATACCAGGGCCAGGGCCTCCCGCTCTGCCCATCTGTCTCGCCTTCAAGAGTTCGTCGCACAAAAGCAGGTTGGATGCAATGCTCGAACTTGAGGCGATGCAGTTTCTGAGTACTCTGAAGGAGTCGAAGATACCCTCGAGCTCTGCGTCCATCGGCTCGCCCGTTGCCAGATCCAAGCCAACGATGTTGCCATCCGCGTGCTCATCCTGCATAGCAGCAACTGTGACATGTTAGTGAATCTTCTTCAAAAGGCAAGCGTACTGTGCACTTACGAGCATCCTGGATGTCAAGACCAGCGTTGGCAGCGAGAGTCTTGGGAATAATCAGCAGAGCATCGGCGAAGGCCTCGACACCCCACTTGGCCTTGCCCTTCACCGTCTTGGAGAAGGCGTCGCTCTTGAGGTGTGCTGCGCAGGCAACCTGGAAAGCACCAGCACCCGGGACAACGCTCTTGTCCACAATCATGTTGTAGACACTGCGCAGACCGTCACGGACAGCGTCCGTAACCTGGGTAATGGTGTGTGCATTGGGTCCCTTGATCAACAGGGTGACAGACTTGGGCTCCTTAACCTCCTCGATGAAGGTGTACTTCTCCTCACCCAGAGTTTGCTCGTAGACAAGACCAGCCCATCCCAGAGACTCGGGTGACAGGTCGTCAACACTGTTCTGTGCAACACCACCACAGATGAGCTGCAGTCTCTCCATGTTTCTTCTCTTGGCACGGCGGAGGGCGAGAATGCCGTTCTTGGCCAGTACGTCGAGAGAAAGAGGGTCAATGCCCTTCTGGTTGATGATGACGAAGTTCTTGGTGGGGTCGTTTCCGCAAACCTCCTTCTTCAGCTCGACAATCTTCTTCAACTTAGCATCAACGAAACGACGCTCGCTCTCCACCAGCTTGTCTCTCTGCTCTGCGCTAGAGTAGAAGAATCCAGAGTTGATCTCAGACTTCTCGTACTCCAAGCTGACGTTCATCGTCAGGATGTAGGCGTTCTCAAGGCGCTTGGGCATATCGGGGTGGCGGGCGCCGTGGTCGAGGGCAAGACCTTTGATCAACTGGGTGTCGGAGGCGGTCCGGTGCTGCATCTTCATGATCTCGACCATGTGCAGATCCGGCTTGGCAGGTGCCTGGTAGATGGCGAGAACAGCATCGACGATATCGGGGGTGAGCTTGGCCGCAAGGTTGGAGTTAAGCTTCGTGGAAAGCGACGTGCGGGCCACGGAGAGAAGCAACTCGCGGTCGACCTCCTTCTCGAGCTTGAAGCCGTCAAGGAACTGTTCGCCCGTCAGCACCACTATCCAAGTATCCGTGTTCAATAGATGCCCACCTTCAACGCCTCGTTCTTGGCAATCTCGAAACCATCCGTAATAATTCTAGGATGCAGTCCTTCTGAGATATAACGATCCGCCTGCTTGAGGAGTTCTCCGATCAACAGGACAGCTGATGTCGTGCCGTCTCCGCAGATATCATCTTGTGCCGTCGCAGCTCTAGCAATCATGACTGCGGTAGGATTTTGAATTTGCATCTCGCGGAGGAGGACGTTTCCATCTTTTGTCAACTTGATCTGTTCGGCGGCGCATTAGCGGTGGGGATTCAGGGGAAGAGGGGTAGTTATTCGCACTTGACCGGAGCCATCGACAAGCCTATTAATGTTAGCATCTAATTTGAAGACATAAACAGCGATAGACTAACATCTTGATAGTGCCCAAAGGGCCGAGGTTGGACTTGAGGACATCCTGGAGGCCTTCACCAGCGCTGATGTTGACCTTCAGGGCTTCACCCCGCCGCTGCACTAGCCGTTAGCATGCAAACAAATATCGTCAGGACAAGGGTCGCGCACCCTCGATTCGGCCTTGGGGTTGAGCAGTTGCGCCGCAGACATGTTGGCTTGAGGTCGTCGAGGGGTTCGTGAGGGGGTATCAGTCGGTAAAGTTATTGGATTAGCGACCTGACGTGGAGTGTTCTCGAGATTGACCTGGCCCCGGGAGCTTCAGATGCGGGACTCTGCTGGTGACTTTTTTTCTGCCTCGAGGTGGCAGGCGGTCAGACGCTGGTAGAAGGTGCTGGCTCACTACCTAATTGCCAGCTTGGTGGTGGTGGGTGCCTGGCACCTGCAGTGGTCCATTCTTGACTAATTCTCTCTATAAGCATAGCTGCATGCGTAGGGGAATATGTACTTAGTGAGGTGTGGATGGCTGCCGCATCTGTCAGCAATCCCGCCGTTCTATGAACCGTGCGTCGTTAGAGCCTCCTGATGGGGCGAATGCAAGCTGAGAACGGGAGACCGGGACGTGGGGACTTAGGGGTCCCCTAGAGGACCACTGCAATGAAACTTTCACCCCAAGAATACACCGCTGCTTTACCCCAAGCTTGTGCCGGTGACATCTTTTCTTTGGTTGCGAAGGCCAAGTGGCTTATCTACCAAGATCAAGAATTCATACTTAGACCGTCTTTTACTGAATAACCTCATGTATAGAGTAAAGGGGAGTATTATAGACGGTCCACTTACCGCCTGCCGCTCAGTTTCTTGCTGCATCATCTCCGTTGGTCGTACCAAAGGTGAGCTTCAACTGCACTAAATTCCAGAGCTACCAAAGTAAAGCAGCGGTTTGTTTACTCACCCTGAGTTTAATTCATTTGGGGACCTCCCGGAGACACGCCGGAGACACCTCACAAATGACGAATCTATTTCGTGCTCTCCTTTCATCCTGTTCATCTTCCAAGCGTACTCAAACGTATCGCTGACACAGTTGTTCCTGACCAGTCATTCCTATCTCTCCCTTCTTTCATCGTCTTCATCTAGTTCTGTGATTCGCCTTTTGTAGTCTTCAATCTACGCGACATCATGTGGGGGTCCAAGCTCTCAGCTGTGCTGTCCGCGCTCAGCTTGACACAATCCGTTCCTGCGACTGAGCTTGAGCAGGTTGTCACCGAGAATGGCGTGAAGCAAGTGGCCATCATTGGTACGTGAACGCTGCTTCATGAAAACCTTTGAAGCTCCGACGATTTGTCCATGACCTTAGCGCGTCGCCGTTCAACCCAGTACTTACACGGTATGTAGGAGCGGGTGCCGGTGGTTCCTCCGCGGCCTACTACCTCCAAAAGTTCGCCGAAGCCGAAGGTCTTCCCGTCAACATTACTGTGTTTGAAAAGACCGATCGAGTAGGAGGCCGGACGTTGACCGTCGACGCTTACGGCAACCCGCTCGAACCAGTTGAGCTGGGCGCTTCCATCTTCATCGAGGCCAATCACATCATCTATAATGCCAGTATCAACTTTGGTCTTCCCCTGAAAGAGCCAGAGTCTGGCAGTGATGGTTTCCTGGGCATTTGGGACGGTGAGAAATTTGTCTTTTCCCAAGATGATAGTTCCTGGAACTGGTGGAACTTGGCCAAGCTCTTCTGGAAGTACGGCACCGCCCCGTACAAGGCGCAGAAGCTCGTGCAGTCGACCGTTGCGACCTTTTTGCAGCTCTATGAGAAACCTCACTTTCCTTTCCGATCGCTCACGCAAAGAGTCTTCGAGCTAGATCTTTTGAAGGCAACTTCCGTCACCGGGGAGCAGTTTCTCGCCAACAACGATGTAAGCCCAACATGATCCTGCCTGATTTTTCGTATACTAATCGATTTGTGATAGATCAGTGAGCTTTTCTCCCACGATATCATCCAGGCAGCCACCAGAGTCAACTATGCGTCAAACCTGAAGTATATCCATGGCCTTGAGACCATGGTCTCTCTTGCCCCTGAAGGCGCTCGGCAAGTCATTGGAGGCAACTGGCAGGTTTTCCAGGTAATGCTTCAAAGGAGTAACGCAACATTGCATCGCAATACTTCGGTGACATCAATCGCCGTGAAGTCTGGCCCTTCTAGCTCCAAGTATCTACTTTCAACCAAAGACGCTCATGCTGAAGCCGAGGCAGAGTCGAACCAGTACCCGATTGCTTTCGACAACGTCGTCATTGCGACTCCTTGGCAGTATGGAGATATCAGTGTCTCAGAGGATCTTTTCCAGCACAAGATTGATGAGGTTCCTTACACCAAGCTTCACGTTACCCTTTTCGCCTCACCGTTCCACCTCTCCCCAGAGTACTTTGGTCTCGAGCCTGGTTCCAAGGCACCCGACTCAGTCTTGACAACGCTCGGCCCTGATGACGAGGCAAAAGCTGGCTCTGAAGGTGCTGGCAAGGCTGGCTTCTACTCTGTCAGCACCCTCAGAACCGTTACAAACCCCGACACTCTCAAGGACGAGTTTCTCTACAAGATCTTCTCTCCTAAGAAGGTGACGGCAGAGTTCCTGTCAAAGCTGCTTGGCGTTGAAGTGCCGGCGTCCATTGTTGCGGGCAAAAAGTCAGAGGAAGCTGGCCAGCGCACTGTTGAACCCATCTCTTGGTATTACCCGCATGTGTTCAACTCGTACCCCATTGAATACCCGCGTGTCACTTTCCAAGACCCCATCCTGAGGGACGGACTTTATTATCTTTCGGGCGTCGAAAGCTTCATCTCGTGTATGGAGACCAGCGCCTTGATGGGGATGAACATTGCAAAGTTGATTGCCGACGATTTCTCAGAGGCCAAGGAGACACTCGAGGAGAAGATCGAGGTCGATGGTGCGCAGGAGGTACTGGGCCAAATTGAGAAGGAGGCGCCCGTGGCTGAGGAG